GGCGGTGAGCCGTCAGGGCAAGCCCCAGCTTTTGGGGATGAAAGAACTGGGGTTTCAGAGGCAGGCCAGATACTGCAGCAGAAGGGGAGCCCCAAACACAAGGATGTGGGTGAGAAGAAATCTCCATCCCTGCACTTTGGGCTCACTCCAAGCTCAGCCCGCGGTCCTGTGCATGGTCTCCTGCCAGCTTTGGCTTCAGAGAAGTATCTGGCGTGAACCAAGCCGCACCTTTATTGTTCCTCCCCCTCTGCTGCAACATGAGCTCACCAAGAAAGAAAGAACAGGCAGCTTGAGAGATAGAAGTAAAAAGGAGAGCGCTGTGTCGTAAAGACACAAAATGGTCACAGGTGATTTAGCCAGTCTGGTCCACAACCCTGTCTGATGGACCCCACACCACCCTGGATTTCTGCCCCAGCCTTCAGAAGTTAAAACCCAGGACTCACCCTACAGTACTGCAGGTCCCTCTCCCTGCAAAGCACACACCATGCCCTCTTGATACCTACATTCTCTATAAGCTCTCACATATACAGCCAGCACCCTTTATAGGACTTTTCCTCACACTGGCAGTCCTTGTAACTGCTTCATGCCCAAGGGGCCAGGAATGTCACACTCAAAGGCCAAATCTGGCTCCAGATGCCATGCAGGACACTTGTGCCATCCCACCTACAGGGCTTGTATTCAGAACTGGGTTAATGCTGCCACTGCCTGCCTAATTCTCTCCCTCCTCTAGGAGCTACGCGTTTCATTTCTCAAACATGGTTCGCTTCTTCCCAGGAGTAGGAAGGGACCGGAGCATTTCAAGCTGCTGGTGTTTCCTCAACTTTACCTGTTGGTCACAAGACAGCAGCAGGTGAAATTACGTTGCAGTCACATTAATACATGCAATTCAGAACCAGTGCTGCCATGCCTGCAGCTACCACCGCAAGAGTGCCAAGGAGACAGCTTGAGCACTGAAAGAGCGAACGGACACACCAGGAGAAGCTCCAGCACTCTGTCTCTTGAGGATGTGGGATTTCACAAAACAAAGAGATTAATGGAGCAATCAGGCAGCCACTACTTCACCCTTCTCACCTGAACACACTTTAAAGGCTGACATATATCGATTGCCATGTCTGCACCTGGAATCTGTCAAATAGAAAGGTCATTCTGACAAACAGGGAGCAGGGGTTTAAGAGGAAACGAGAATCCCAGCAGTAACTTACAATCCAGAAACACATGCTAGCTCAATTTGCCAAAAGACCTCCAGACAAGCCTTCTTTACAATGTCCCTTAGTGGATCAGTAGTGGAGATAGCTCACCGCAAATTCACTCGCATATGGGTCAAGGCAGGAACCTGTGGCTAGTGGCAAGTGAAAGGAGAAAGCTAGGACTAAAACACCCAATAGCAACCTGAAGTTATCTCAGATCAAAGTGACTACAGAGACACAGAATTAGACTGACAGCGCTCTTAGATGTTCAATCATCCAGGGGTCCTGAAGGACCCCTTTCGGAGAAGCCCTGGCTATTAATCTGAAAACCAGCACCTGCTTCATCAGCACAGGTCTGAGGTGTCCAAGGACAGTGCCTCCTACATCATCCCGTATCCTCTCTGAAGACCCAGCAATGACACAACACAATCCTCTGCAGCCTGAAAAAACAGAGAGAACCACAGCAGTCACTGGTATGACTGCTGGCATTGCATTCATGGAGAACATCAACCATCTGCTCTCAGAGTTTGCCTGGGACATGGAAACAAAACACAGAGAGGGTGCGACCATGGTGCTGGGGATGCTCTGAGGAGTCCCTCTCTTCTCTTCCATTCTCCATTGTGACCCATAAACGCGCAAACATTATGCAAGGCTCATTGGACTGACAGCTAAGATTTGTGTAGTAGTTTGCTGAGCAGCAGAGACAGGGAGAAGTAAAAACCATGGAGACCTAGATGACTTGTTTTGTTAGGGCATCACTCGACGGTTACTACCTTGGTGAAGAAGAATCAGCTGCCAGAACATGGTTTGAATGTCCTTTAAATGTCCTCATTGCCACCCTGAGCTATGACACAGAGGCTCTGTTCTGGAAGCTGTTATCAAGGATTTCTCTTTCTCTCTCTGTCTCACACACATATGCGTGCACAGAGATGTGCCATGAAGAAGCATATTACTCCAGGGACCGTATCCAGTCAAAGCTGTTTCCTAGGGAAATAAGCTAAAATGATGAACATCACCAACCTGACCTTGTGAGCAGTAAAACACGTATTACAAGCCAGGATAATAAAGATAAATGGAGAAGATTAACCTGGAGATGAGGGCAAGGAAGGAGAGAGGGAAGAAAGATGGTGGAGAGCTCATGAGGCACCTGGAGCTCACAGCATCCCCTGACTTTTCTAAAGAGATGCTAAGAGTTGAGGAAGGAGAGTATGAAAAGGACACTGAGGGGAAAACCACAAAGCCCAAGCCAGAAGATAGACCGCAGAAAGGAGTCTCTCTGCACAGGAACACAAAAAGAGGACTACCATGTCGCAAGGACCTGAGCCGAGAGTCCTGAAGGTGCTAAAAGCCTCACTCCAAACATCAACTCCAGCCCTAAGGCTAACACAGCAATAAACTGTTCAGCTCAGCGATGGCCCAGAGCTGCCCTGGCCACACATCTTTGCACCCTTCATGGACAATAGAAGGCCCCACCAAAATATCAGTGCCAAGGCCTACAAAAGGCACCTAACTCTCCACTGGCTGTACAGGGAGTTTAAGCACCATATGGGTTTCCTGACTCTCTCTGCCAAGCCAGGTGTCTGTTGCCTAGCTATTGCACACTCTGTGTGGGCACCCATGGCCTTGGTGACTTCCAGCTGGAAAGGGCTCAGTTTCTGGTGGGGATGAAAGTCAGGCTCTTTGATCACTAGCTGCTTTTGAAGTTGCCTCCAGCAGCATGAGAGATGCAGCCAGTTACTAGTCAAGAGCTGCAGAACCTCATCTATGGCGCATGTGCACATGTAGGCTTTGGTGGGAGCACGTCTTTCTTCTTTGATCCTGTTTGCCCCATCCCTCTCCTCTCTTCTTCAGGTTAGTCTGTTCTGTTGAATGGAAGTAGCAATCTGAAAGCCACCTCCGTCTCAAAAGAACAGAGACCGGACCGAGCTTTGGTCACCTCGCTTCCCGGAAGAAAACCCCATTAACAGCATAAGAGGAGCAAAGAAAGGACCCAGTTCCCCAGAGGTGGATAACAAAGCTCCAACATATCCATGGCTGAAGAGCCGAGCAGTTCCACCTGAGCCACGAACAAGTGTGAGAGGTCAGTCGGAGCCGCGAGAGCAGTCCTCACTCTGGAGAGCGCTGCACCACAGCACTGGTACATACCCCATCCCCGCGACTCACCCCCCAGCCCCTCTCGCACTCTTGGCACTCACCCGGCCGCAGGACCCTGATTTCCAGCAGGTTGGAGGTCCTGTCTGCCAGCCGCGTCCAGCTGCTGTTGTAGTTCTTCCTCCAGAGCTCGGCCACGCATTGGTACTTGCCGGCCTCCGTGTCGCTCGCCCTGCTGATGCTCAGGCGCACGTTGTTGCTGGACTCTGCCTTCTCAATGGCAGTGCGGGTCCGGAAACCTGTGTACCTGTCGCCCCACTGGACCCCACCGTCGCGCGTGAAGGTGACCAGGTCGTGAAACTCGGTGCTGCCTGCTGGCTGGAAACGCCACGTCACCGACACCGGTACCCACGACGGGTAGTGGGGCTTGATGATGCACTGGAGGTCGAAGGACTCGTTGTAGGTCACCCCGGGGGTGCGGGAGATAGCTGTGACAGCAAAGCCGGCCTCTGCAGAAAGAGAGAAAAGGGCTTTGAGAGACACGTGCCTAACAAGGCCCTGCTGTTAGCATGCAAAAGCTAGAGCGTGGTCATCCAGTTGTGGGCCTGGAACAATCAGCTGCTCAGGTTGTGTCAGCTCCTTGCTTGCAATTGCAAGCAAAGTGGCACGAAAAGCAGCAGCAAAGACATGCTTAAGTGCCTGCGTAGCGGTGACTGCCTGTGTGACTGGCTGCTGCAGCAGCAAGACTGTGCTCGATTTCTGCCCAGAGGAGCGAGATTCCTGAGACCCAGAGGGCGAGCAGCCAACTTCTGCAGGCTGACAAAGCCCCAGAGGGAGACGCAGCAGCACGGCAGCAAGGGAGCAGCACCAGGCAGAGAAGCTGCCCAGCACCAGCCCAACCACTTGCAGACCTCACCATTCACATCCACCTCTCGGGCAGGGGGTCCTCATCCTGTTACCCCCCCAGGTCTGTGGCTGCCGGTGAAGGGAAGATGAGGAAAGTGAGAGGTAGCAGCCTTTGTTCATGCATTGGAGAGGTGGCAGCAGTTACAAAACCCCAAGATGGAGGCAACAGAAAGAGAAGCTGGTTGCTCCTGTTCTTCACACAGCATGGCTTTTGTTCCCCAGATCACAGCTCCATGACGGCTTTATGCAGTTATCCTCGCACGTCCACCACTCTGCAAGCCAGTCAATACGTTTTGACTTGTCTACCCCCAGCACTTCGTTTAGGGGAGTTTAAAACCAGCAGTCTATTAATAATTTGAAGATAACATATTCCCAGTTGACTGGCTTACATTTTGAATCAGAGTATTTCCATTGCTCTTTTGTTCTGAGCTGCAGAGGGAAATATTTTCTTATCTTTCAATCACTTCAGTGTGGCCAGCAGATTTAGCAGGGACCTTGTCTTCTACTGGCAACATCCCCAAGAAGTGTTCCCTTCCCAGGAGGCTCCGTGGGGCATCCCACACCAGCTGGCAGCTCTTCTCCCTCCTGCAGTGCTAACCATCCTGGCATCTGGCACAGCCACCGCTGCGGAGGGAGACCCCAGCCAGTGCCCAGTGGAAACAGGAACGTCTTCTGGATCAGCACGGAGCTTCAGCTCATCACCAGCTTGAAATTACAGTTCAGGAGATGAGCTGGGAGCTCACCGCGACCTGCAGAGCTGCTGCCGCGGGCCAGAGCGACCACAGCACGGACACCGCCGTATCTGCACACTTCCAGCAAGTGCCTCTGCAGCCCCACGGCGTCACCGTGCCAGAGCTCTGGGACGTGTAATTACTGAGAAAACAGGTCAATCTTTAGGATTAAAGCCTCTTGCAACATGTTCACTGATTACCCAGGAGGGGAGAGCAAGACCCAGGCTATCTGCCCTGCAGGACTGCTGCATCTCATCCCCATGTAAGCCTTCACCTTCAGGCCCTGCAGCAGCCCTCCTGTCCCAGCACGTGTGTTACTGGGCCCAGCTCAGAGCACTGCTGAGCCAGCGAGGGCCCCTAGAAAGCTAACTTAATTTCCGCAAGACCAGCTGACTTTGTAAAGTTTAATCTCCAGCTGCCTTGGGCAAGGAAGCTTCATGAAGAGACTTCTCTCGTCTGCTGTGAGAAAGCCAGGTGTGTTTCTGAGGTCCTCAACTCAACCAACACGCTCATGGCACTCTGATTAACACACAAAGGCCCTTCTTCCTTCGGGACTTGGTACAAAAGGAGAGAAGCCCCGTATAAAAGTGGGCAGGTTTTCTGCAAGACCTCCTTACAAGAATACAGTAGTACCCCCCCTTACCCTGCCTGCCCCCTCAGTCCCCAGCCAGCCAGGGACTGAAGTCCCTGCCAGGCACTCGAGATCCTAAGAAGTTCAGGGACATCTGGTCTCATCTGACAGCACATCTCTCTTCCGGCTATTGCTTCTGAAGCACCCTGTAGATAGATTTATGGGTTTGCACGTCATCTGTGCTGGTTCAGCTAAAGAGTTCCTTACCCTGGCAGACTGGCAAACGATTAGACCTTAACTTGAAATGTGAGTGTCACTAAATTCACCGCATTTTTTTTTTACTAGCAATTTCTGTAGCCATAAACCTCTCCTGCTCTTTCTTAGCACCTTCCATTTGAGTTTCTCAGGACACTTCAAAAACATGCTGAACAAAAAAATATCAGATTCAGCAGCAACGAAACAATACTCAATATTTTCTCCACTAAATTTTCATGATCTGCTTCAGCTTTGCTAGTTATAGGAAGAGGACCTAGGAATTTCTTAGGACTTGACAGAATGTGCTCAATAGCTGGTGATTTCTCTGGGACAAGGAGCAGAGGAGGAGGTCTAACTACCTTTCCATCACAGCTTCTGGAAATGCTGGGCAATTCTGAGCATCTTAAATTTTAACAAGAGAAAAAGTGATACATTTTAAAATCTCAACACTCCATCTCAACACTTCTACAAGTGGCAGAGCAAAGAGTAGGGCTGAAATGTGGACTTACAGCAGGCCAAATGCTGCTGACCTCCTGAGGAAGATGCCGTTGAGACCAGATGAGAATCTGCCTTTACTTCTTCACAAACTAATGTCCCTACCTGCTTCTGGAAGCCATATAGCAAAGATTTCTAGCTCCAGATAGAACAGCCTCTGAAAGAAGGTCAAAAGTGAAAGGGAGGAAAGGAGGAAAAAAGCAAGATTTTAATCAGAATATGATATGATTTTGAAGTCTGGTCTCTCACACATCTTGCCAAAGCTTAAGATTAACACTGCAGAGAACTAAAAAAACCCCAAAAATGGTTCCTATCTCGACCTTTCAATACAGCTCTCTGATTGTTTATCACCCTGGCATTCTGCAAATAAGTGGCCTCACAGTAGCAGTCATCCCTTCTTCAGTCTCCTGCAGAGCACTTTGGGAACTAGTCCAGGACTCAATATAGCAAGGCCTGAGTGGGACCAAAGTAATTCACAATCCATGCAAAATCCCAACGCCCAACCTGCCCTCTCCTAAACTGATGTGGTTTCACTGTGTTTGAAATGGAGGAGCTCTTTAGTAGAGCAGAGTACCAGCTGCAACGGTAACAGCTCCTAGTTCGGCTTGGTCATGTACAACATTGTGGTTCCAGGCCAGCAGCTCAGTGCCTCCTTGCAGAGGCAGTGAGGACCATTCCTGATCCACATCTTCTGCAGGGTTCTGATGCCGTCAGAGGTGCTCGCCATTCCTGGTGGCTGGGCCAACAGATGCCCAGCAGTTTGCTCTCCTGGTCTGGTGAGTGGAGGTAAGGTTTACTCAAGGCAGATAAGGAGGCTTCGGTGCCCGTGGGCTGCTGCTGGAGTACCACCACTGCACTGCCCATAGCCCGGCTCCAATGCTGGGGAACATGTCATGGGACTGGCAGCATCTCTCCTTGGAAGGGCACTGGAAGTGCTGCCCCTCTCCTTAGCCAGTCCCTGCTTTGCTCCTGCTGCAGCCACCCCTCAGACTTTGCCCCCACACACAACAGGGCACACAGGTGTTTTGCACCAACCCACTGGAAGCTGTGGGTGGGCTGCCGGGTACCTCTGTTTTGCCGGCAAGCAAGGGCGGGAGTGCCAAAAGCAGCCCCAGTCATTCGCGGGTGACCTCCTGGGGAGGACGGGGCACATGGGGAGCATGGCCCCATAGCCCCCCGTGCCTCGAATACTCACCCAGAGCAGTGATGGCCACCGGGGTGCCCGCATGCCGCTCCCCAACCATCTGCCACTCCCCATCCAAAGTCCGCGTCCACTCGGCCACCCGGCACTCGTAGTGGCCCTCGTCCGCCTTGACGCTGTTGAAGATCTCCAGGGTGAAGGAGCCGGGCCGGACCTGCTCCACCTGGATGCCCCCATAGCTGCTGCGCTCGGCGTACGAGGGGCCTGGCTGCAGAGTGCCCTCCCGATCCAGACGCACAATTTCGCTGCGCCGGTTCAGCTTGTCCACCAGCTGCCAGGCGATGGAGAGCCCGAAGCCTGAGCGCACGTTGCAGCCAAAGCGCAGGCTCTCCCCCTCCAAGACACTGCTGGCGTTGTTGATAATCTCCAAGGAGATGCTGGTCTCTAAGGAGAGAAACGCATACACACAGGGGAGATGACACACTCTCGCCACTTCTCGCTCTGCAAGACGGACGCTGCTGGCCAGAGAGGCTTTCTACCAGGTGCAGGAAACTGCCCACGCATTTGGGTCCAGGCATGTCTTAACCTCATGCGTGACCACATCCAAAAACAGCTTGTGGGCAGCGAGCTGCTCCTGGTGACTTGCTCACTCAAAGCAGGCGTAGGCCAAAGCTGGGAGAAATCTCTCTGCCTACGGCTCAGGAGACATTGCCGCGTCTTCTGGTCGCAGGTCTGGGATGGGATCTCAGCAAAACTTGAGGGAATTTGTGTAGTTACAACATGTACTGCATGCAACCAGCTCTGCCAAAAAAAGCTTCCAGCTCCCTGGGATTTTCAATTCACATCATCCTGATCACCGTCTTGCCACATCCATTCGTACACCTCCTTTTGGGAGAAGCTCTCCCAAACTCCCATCGCTAGCGAAACCATAACATCACAAAAACCTGGTATCCTGAGCTTCCCAGAGATGTAAGATTTTACAGCTGGTCTTTCTGAGATACTAAGTGCTGGTTACTCCTGCTGTCTTCCATCAGAGTTAGGGACACTTAGCACCCTTGCAAAATCATCACATTCGTTCCTAGAGCTGGTGATTTATCAAATGGCAAGAATGAAATCTGTCTGAAAGGTGGCTGTGCCTAGAAGTACTACATTTTAGACATTTGTATAGCACAATATTTCTAGCTAGAGTAATTTTCAAAGCCAAACAAATGAGACCAAATATTGGTAGGAGAGAAAAGAAATAGCGTTTCTTTTGAAGAAATGAGGAGGGGAAAAAAAGCTAGAGGAAAAGGCTGCATTGCCCTACAAACCTAAGAGATGGGAGACAAACATCACACAAAATCCTCTTGCAGCTACGGTCTGCTGGGTTAAAGCCCACTGCCAGGGTAGTGTGGGCAACACGTGCATGGTTCATCATGCCGCAGCTACCAGAGTTCCAGAAAGAAAAACCAGGAATGATCCAGTGGACCCTCTCCTCTCACCCTACCATTTCTGTATTTATCACGTTTGTCTGACAAACATAGAAGGCATTCAGGCAAGCCTCTGGCAGGCTTGTTTCCACCAGCGTTGGCAGATGCACAGTGACCATGACAGCTCCATGCTGAAGAGCAAACTGGTGCTCGAGGATCACATGAACCCTGGTTTCTCCCAGCACAGCCATCTTGCAAGACGGCTGAACAACGGGCACTGAGCAGCCTGCGGGAACCTTTGGATAAACCAGGGCCAAGCCAGTCTCCTCGTTACGCCTGCTGGGTACTTTAGAGCACCCAACTCCCTGCAGAGGAAGGCGAGGAGAGAGGTGTGAGGAGCAAGTGAGAGGCTGTCACATGCACCTTCAGCTCAAGGAGAAAACTGTCAAACTGGGGTCATCACCAAGGTGGGGGCACGTTTCCCCACCTACGGACCTGACACGTATCTCTCCTTCTCTATCATCCCCTTCCCATAAAACAGTTGGGATTTCAAGGCTCCGTAGCATGCAAACTCTTATCCTCCCTTTTCCCCACCACTGGAATCTGGGCACATCGTGGCCTCAGCAGCTGGCTGCCCAGCAGAGGCAGGAAGGGATAGGCAGGTCTCTACTTACTGAGTGGCAGGACAGTGATGGGGATGTTCTTTGGCCGCTTGCTCTCCTTGTCAATGAAGTCCCCGGTCACAGTCTTCTCCCGCTCAGTCACCCGGCAGTTGTATTTGCCACTGTCCTCGAGGCGGAGGCGGTAGATCTTGAGCACAAAAACGTTGTCACTTTCTTTGGCTACCTTGAGCTGGCCCAGGGCCTCGCGCTGGGCAAACTCATTGTTGAGCACTGGCACGGCGTTGGGTCCCAGGCTGGCGATGAGGGAGCTGTTGAAGGCCCAGGAGATGGAGAAGTAGCGGTCAGGGACGTTCTGCGCCTCCAGGATGCACCGAAACTCCACTGGCTCACCCACGATGTACATCCTCTTCTCCGTCTCCAGTCGGACGCTGAACTCTTTATCTGGGAAGAGACAGACCAACTCGCGTCAGCACGGCAAAGCCCACTGGGACAGCCAGCACACCTCGTGTGAAGTATTTACAGCTCATCACTCTGTGTAGTCAATGTCCCTCAGAGATGTGCATCCACAGGTGGAGGGGTTAGGGGCTTGCTTTTGCTGTGAGAGCCCTGATTGGCCGTGCT